AATTCCTCTCTTCCCCACAACCATTCTGATTTCTACAGACTTCCTCAATAACTAAACAACACAGTTGTCTACACAACCTATAAGCCACCTCTAGCTCCCTCATATCCTCCATCAATCTATTAGCAAATCCTGACAGTTCTTCTTCCAAAATATAGTCTGCACCCACGCACTTCTCTCTCCATCTCTTATGACTGCTCTACTCCAAGAAACCACCCCATCTGTGTCTCAGGAGCACACTGCCAATTGGTCTCCTTTTCTCCTCTCTGGGCCCTCCAAGGCCCACCCTCCACACAGCAGCCAGAGTGAGCCTCGGACCACAAAGCAGAACACATCACTCCCATTTAAAGCCCTCTACTGGCAGCCTGTCACGACTGAAATACCATCTAAACCCCTCCCCCAGCCCTCCAGGCTTTTTGTGACCTGGCCCCTCCTAATGCTCTGCTCACCACACCTCTCACTGTCACCTCCGCTCACCCTGTCCTAACTACAAGGCCTTTTGTCACTCCCTGAATATGGTGGGTTTGCCCACATCTCAGGACCTTTGCTCTTGCTGCTGCCTTCTCCGACTGCTTTCCCTTGAGAGCTACTTCCCACCATTCAAGCCCCCACGGCCCATGCAGAGCATCTCGGCAAAGAGGCCTTTCTGAGGGAAAACCAGAAAGAGGTTGTCTGTCTGCTCCTGGGCACTCGGGAGTTAAATGGTGAGATCGACATGGCGAAGCCACCCTGAGAAGACAGCAGCGCTCTCCAAAGAACTGCATGAGAAGAAATGTATCTGTGGGAGTGTGAGCTGGCCAGTTTCAGGAACACTGGAAAGGCAACAAGGCAAGCGCCGACAGTGCCCCACCAGCCTCGCAACTCCTGAGAGAATCTCGGCCAGTGGCCCCGGCCCAGGTTCATGCACTGAATCCTCTCAGCCTGGAGTTGCTGATTATTAGGACACACTTGCTCTATGCTCACAAGCCACCCTCTGCCTGTCACTTGGCTGGTCACATATGTTTTACATGAGGAGAGCATTTGCTGGTCATGCAGAAAGGAGTACTACAGTTCCTAGTAATAATAATTTCTCTTTCTGAAAATCAACAAATTGGCATTTTTATTTTACTCATCAGTCTTGAGAACAGTCCCCTTAAGAGACTCAACCCATTCTTTTCACATATCACTCAGACTTGCTTAAAACTCTTTACCCGTTCTTAAACATCCAAGTCTCTTAAGGACCCTGCAAGTCCTGGCGTCTACAAACCCTCCTCAGCCCCCACCCCTTAATCATCACCTACCATATACCCCCAGCCATTCTGGGTGACTCCTCAGGCCTTTGCTGTTCCTTCTGCCTGGAGTGTTTTCCTCATCTACTCTCCACACGGCCAGCTCCTCTTAAATGTCACATCCTCAAAGAGGCCCTTCATAACTGACCTCCTCATCCAAAATAGCCTCTCTTACCCATCTCTACCCTATTCTCTGTCATATGACATCATTCTGCTCTTATTCCCTTTGCACACTCACCAGTTTGAACTTAACGCTTATGCTTATTAGTTCTTTCCTCCTTGTCCCTATTACAAAGTCAGCTCAGTTAGGAGCAGGGACCCTGTCTTTCTTTCTTGCTCATGATTAAATTTCCAGAGTCCAGGCAGTGCCTGTCACATATTAGGTATTTAGTAAGTATTTGCTGAAAGGAAAATGGATAGCTTAAGTATGACAGTTTAAAAATTTAAGTAAAGTATTACTTCATTTGGAAAAAACATCTGGCAGCAAGGAATGTAATAAATTCTTGACTGGCTTTGCTAACAATTTCATTTTCTTGAAGGTGGAGTAATCATTCTGTTTGAGTCTGTCTGTCTCAACAAGCACATATTTTATAACTTGAAAGAAACAATAAAGAAACTTTGTATTTTTACCAAAGCAACCAGCAGAGGGAACCACTCCAAGGACACACAGCGCAGAAGGTCCTTTCATGAAGGTTCAATGAATTACAAAAGAAATCAATCATACAGTTTTGAAAGTAAACTGAAGTGTTAACCATTTCAGTACTAGCTGTTTATATTCGCCAAGTTATTAGAAAATTCAAACTTTTTTTCAAAATGGGAATCCAGGTTAAACAGAGTATTTTTCTTTTTTCTTTAAAAAAAAAGAGAATTAAAATTATTGATTGATTGATTTTAGAAAGAGAGGAAGGGGGAGTGAGCGGGAGATATCCATCTGTTGTCCCACTTATTTATGCATTCATTGGTTGATGCTGGTATGTGCCCTGACTGGAGATAGAGCCTGCAACCTTGGTGTATGGGGATGACACTCTAACCAATTTACCCAGGTTAAACTGAATATTTTTCAAGAAGAATTTGCACTTGAAAACAAATTAATAATTTGAGAATACAAAAATCTTACAGAAAAGTGAGCTTTAAATGTATTATTTGATAGGAATTAAAATACGCATATAAATTACCATTCATTTCAGGAAATAGTGTAGCATCTGAACAATCAATTATAAATTTTGGTGGGGAGGGGAACTCATAGATGAGAGATTTGGGGACATGAAGTGAACTGGCAACCCCTACTTGATATATCAACTAGTTGTAAAACTTTGGGTAGAATCTACTGCTGGACCCTCACATTTGAAGGAGAAATGGTTTAAATATAATTTGCATTTCCCAGCTCTCACTTTAGTCCCTACAGTCACTGACATTGCCACTGTTCCTGACTATATCTATTCCTACCTACATGCTTTAAATATTTTCTATATAAATATTCATTCAGATTATAATTTTAATAGCAAAAGTCTCCCAATATATGTTTAATTTTTGCTGTTTACTGATAAAACTATGAAGCTGATCTTTATAGTTGAATCTGTACAGACATCACCAGGATAAACCCTTACAGGTGGAACTGTGAAATTGCTGAGGTCATATTCCTTATTTTAGGTCTCTGATATATTAAACTACCCTCTAGGAAGGCTGTCATTTATTCAACAACTTCTGTGTCTATTTTTGTATAGTCTGGCCCAAATACAGTACTCTAAAACAATATATTATTCTAAAACAACTGAGCATGGTAGGCAAAATGGTACTTATTGTTTCTTTACTTTGCCTTTCTTTATTAGGAGAGGTTACGCAGTTTCTTCATGTATTTGTTAACATATGTCTTCTGATTTACCTGTTCCTTTACTTTGCCCATTTTCTTACTGATTTGTAGGGCAGTCAAAATAAAAATGGTTCAGTCTGTCCCCTGATATGCAATGACACTGGGTATGTAATGACATGAACTTAAGATCATTGGAGTTGTTGTTGGGACAGACAAAGGTGGAGGAGGAATTCTATGTTCTGGACTCAGCTTTACAGAAATACTAGGTGACTTAGAGAAAATGATATACTCTGTTTAAAAGCAGTGGATAGCCCTAGCTGGCTTTGCTCAGTAAATAGAGCATCAGCCTGCAGACTGAAGGGTCCTGGGTTCGATTCTGACCAAGGGCATGTGCCTGGGTGGTGGGCTCAATCCCCAGTAAGGGGTGTGCAGGAGGCAGCTGATCAATGATTCTCTCTCATCATTGATGTATCTATCTCTCTCTCCTCCCTTTCTCTCTGAAATCAATAAAGAAATACATTTTAAAATAAAAAAAGCAGTGGACAAAGAAAATAATATTGCTCATTATGATTCATGAGTATATAACATTTTAGTTATATTTTTGGTCAATGAGACTTGGCTTCAGACACCTTGGCTTCCTCATCTTGGACTAATAACCATGACATGGCAGTAACACTACCACTGCCATAAGCCCGCATAAACAGAAGATGTGTCCTATCAGCTAGCAGGGAGTTTGTCCATGACAGCAATGTTGCCAAAGATGTGAACACTTCTATCAGAGCTTAGGCTTGTGTTAATGTAACAGTCACATTACCATGTGGACGGGACTTGAACCACGATTCTTGAGCCTTCTAAACTGATTTGGGGGGCATAGGCTTCTTTATTTTCTATCTGTGCTGTGTCAACTACCACCTACGAGAGAAAGAAATATCTCGATCAGCATTCAGAGAGAAAAATGATTACAAACAAATCCCATACATGAACCTATCAATGCTAAGTGACTCTGGCAAGAACTATTTCCCTAGCAAAGCAGGTATGCAGAGGCCAGTCAGGGGCCCTATAGAGACAACAGTAGGTAATAAAGATGACTGAATACAGTAATATTTCAATAAACAGAAACCAATTTCTAGGTGTAGGATGTGCTGAACTTTGCAAGCACTTGTGGCACTTGTTCCAAACTATAAATGTTAGTTAGGAACTGCTTTGTTTCCTTTACCTCAGTATTTTAAAATTTATGCACTTGAAAGGAGTAAAAACTCCACCAAAAAAATAAAAAAATCAAACCAATGCTTCAGAAAGGCCCATTTGTAATGACCGAAAACAAGCCAGAAGTGGATGAAGCTTTTCTTAAAGATCATTTTATTCTCAACCATCAATAAAAACAAAACTACTTCAGGAAAGATAAAGAACCAGCCCTTCCTTCAATGATTTCCTCTTATTTGGAGGACAGTCTTTAATATTACAGGATGATATTGTATCCTCCATAATTTAGAGTTTGATAAAGTGATGAATATATTTTCAAATAACTAAAATAACTTTAAGAAGAGAATCATAAAACACTTGAAAACCAAATCTGTGACATATCAGAAGGGTAAAGCAATGCAGAGTTGTTTATTTTGATTCCAAACGCAGCCTATGATGGAGCTCATTTCCACTGCTGTAAACAGGGTTCCCACAGCCGGTCTGCATGTCCTTTGGAAAAGACTTCCTGTCCAAGTAATAACCATTGTTGGACCAGGCAGGTGTTTCCTCTCTCCTCCCAACCCCAGAACCATAATCTAAAGGTTCTTTGTCAGCCACGTACAAAGGTGCCCGGAGATCAAGGGGTAAGGATCTATGAATAAGTTTCTGATCTTTGAATAACAATGGAACTTTTTCTTTAAGCCTACAAAGTTGTTGTTTTTGTAAGCCTACAATGTCCTTCTGTCTTATTCTACACATTCCTTTCTGGAAACTGACTGCCATGGTTCTCCTAGCTTCAGCTCAATCTCCCAACCACAGTGGGCTATTCCATACATCAGCAAGGGGTCTCCAGTCTATGTGGCTTGTAGGGTTCCTATACTGAGGAACAGATCCTAAAGGAAGTACACCTCCCACCGTGGACTGGCCTCATCTGGCCCTCGACAAGGCAGCACCATCCTGAGCTCGGCCGCCGAAGCCTTCAGCCACATGAAACAAAGGACAGCACCTGCCCAACAGCTACTTTCATAAAGTAGGAATTAGACTAGGAAACAGTTCTTTAATTTTCTTAGTTATAATTAGCTTCTTTTAGCCTGACTGAAATGCTCTATCTTTTCAAATAGTCATTTAATCCAAGAAAGTAGAATCAAATACATAAGGTTATGTGGGTCAGCAGAGTCAAATAAAAAGCTAAATGGTGCCTTCAGATATTGACCCCATCCAACTTTAGCAAAAGTTATTCTTCTCTCCAACAGTGATAAAGACTAGGCTTATTTCTGAGTTGACACTTATTTGATTGCTAAGGAGGAGACAGAGCTGGGATACAAAGTAACTGGATGGGGGCATTACTTAGACCATTGAGGTCTCTGAAAGGTGATATTTGAGCTGACATTAGGAAGACTGAGAAGAAGTGAGTCACATGATAATCAAAGAGGAGTATTCTCAGGTAAGAGGAGCATCAAACGCAAAGACTGCAGACAGGTAGAAGCCTGGCCTGTTCGAGCAACAGAAACACATGCACTGAAGCTCCAGAATAGTCAGGTCAAGTCCAAGGACGCTATCAAATCATTACCAGTGAAATGGTTTCCTTATAACGAGGAAAGCCTGCAACATCATTTTGCAACTAGGTTCCCTACCACTACATATTAAAAATCTACCAAAAAACAAACAAATAAAAGGCTTTTTAATGCTACTCTTGCCTTACCTTTCTATCTGGTTTAAACTCTGTAGCACCAAAGAACTTTTAAAATTACTCAGTATTTTCACACATGCCTGCACCCCATCCTCACATGCTTGGAACATCATCTGTCTTTACTCTCTCTCCCCCATACATCACACATATTCACTCACCAGTCCAGCTTGGCCAAACAGCAGCTGTACGGCAGTCTTGCAGGCGCCCCGCCATGTGGATGGGCACACCTGGTTCAGTACTTCAGTTACAGGAAAATCATCCCTTGGTGTGATTCCATTATAGCAGCCTGCCTCCTTGATCAGTTGTAACATTGTATGCTATAGATTGATAACAAGAGTGTTCATATCTTAAGATAAAGTCACACAACAATGTTCATATCTTAAGATAAAATTTGGAGACTGAAATGCATTTACAAGTACACAATAGTCCTCAAAAGAAAAGTATTTTGTTTAAATACCCCCAAATAAATGGAATTTAATTTGTTAAGTGATTATCATCAGACACCCTCAGGTTTTCTCAATCCCATAGAGGGAATGATTAGATGTATCACATGATTAATACACTTGTTGGTATTTCTATACTAGCACAAAATGCATTATCTAGCAATCTGATAATGGACACTGCTGAGGAATTTTGAATTCTGAATTCCTCTAAATAAGGAGACAAAATCATCTGGTAGAAGTAAATACCAATCAAAGTCTCAACTTTACTTTGGATTACCAAGTGGTCAGGTATGCAGACTCTGGAAACAGATTGCGTAAGTTCAAATTCCAATCTACTACTTTCTAGCTATGTGACCTTGGGCCTTAGTTCCTCTAGTTCTCCAGTGGGGTAAGGGTGATCATTTAAAAAGACGACACACGTGAAATGGTTGGCATAATAATGCTTGGCTCATGATGCTCCACAAATGGAAATAATTATTGCCACATTATGACAAGATTTCTCCTCTTATTTTTTCATGAAAGTCCACTGAAACATTAACCATAAACAGTATTTTATAATGTGCTTTCAAAAACCTTTATGTTAGACATTTGAACAAAATTACAAATAAAACTAACTTGACAAACGTCTCATTAAAAAAGTCACCATAGCCGAAACCGGTTTGGCTCAGTGGATAGAGCGTCGGCTTGCAGACTGAAAGGTCCCAGGTTCGATTCCGGTCAAGGGCATGTACCTGGGTTGCAGGCACATCCCCAGTAGGAGATGTGCAGGAGGCAGCTGATCGATGTTTCTCTCTCATCGATGTTTCTAACTTTCTATCTCTCTCCCTTCCTCTCTGTAAAAAATTAATAAAATATTAAAAAAAAAAAAAAGTCACCATAGCCCTAACCGGTTTGGCTCAGTGGATAGAGTCCCAGGTTTAATTCTGGTCAAGGGCATGTATCTTGGTTGCAGGCACATCCCCAGTAGGGGGTGTGCAGGAGGCAGCTGATTGATGTTTCTCTCTCATCGATGTTTCTAACTCTCTATCCCTCTCCCTTCCTCTCTGTAAAAATCAATAAAATATATTTTTAAAAAAATCAATATATTAAAAAAAAAGTCACCATAGCCCCGCTGGCATGGCTGTGGTTGAGCATCAACCTATGAACCAGGAGGTCACAGTTCGTTTCCTGGTCAGGGCACATGCAGGGTAACAGGTTCGATACCTAGTGTGGAGCATGCAGGAGGCAGCCTATCAATGATTCCCTCTCATCATTGATGTTTCTACTTCACTCTCTCCCTCTCCCTTCCTCTCTGTAAAAATCAATATATTGCCAAAACCGGTTTGGCTTAGTGGATAGAGCATCGGCCTGCGGACTGAGGGGTCCCAGGTTCGATTCCGGTCAAGGATATGTGCCTGGGTTGCAGGCATATCCCCAGTGGGAGATGTGCAGGAGGCAGCTGATCGATGTTTCTCTCTCATCGATGTTTCTAACTCTCTATCCCTCTCCCTTCCTCTCTAAAAACAATAAAAATATATATATATTAAAAATAATAAAAAAGTCACCATAGCCCTGGCCAATGTGGCTCAGTTGGTTGGAGCATTGTCCCATACACCAAAAGGTTGTGGGTTAGATTCCCAGTCAGGGCACATATCTAGCTTGCGGGTTTGATCCCAGACTCTGATTGGACACGTGTGGGAGGCAATCAATTGATGTTTCGATTGCTATTTCTCTCTCACTTTGATGTTTCTCTTTTTCTCTCCCTGTCCCCCTCTCTAAAAATCCTCCCTTGGGGGAGGATTAAAAAATAAAGTCACCATAGTTCACTTTTTAGATACCAGTTTATGGAGAAAGGTTAATGCCTCCTGCCCCAATCTATATTCTATATTCTTTAATCTATATTCTTTACAAGCCTTTATGTTTCCTTAACAACTCTATTTTCAAGTTCACACCCGGTTGTTGGAACCCCATGGAAAGCTACCGTCTTAAGTTTCAGATTATCAGCGGCTGACTCGTTGAAGGAGACACCCTTCAGGAAGTGTGATCCGATCTGCACAGGGACAGTAGGAAGCTCACACTGCATGGGCTGCGGGGGCGTCTGCCTCCGCCCAGTTTGCTGTGCTTCTGCCTCGCTGCAGCAGCCCTGGAAGAGGTTTGGATGGGAGAGAAAGGGTGATCCACAGCTCAGCTGTCAAGACACTTGGTTCACTTGTTATGGCGAGACTGCCACGCCACAGCTTTTAAGAACTACCAGAAAGAAGAGTGTACCTGCAAACTGGCTTCAATTGCTTTTGGATTCAAGTGGAAACCAGCTTTCATTGCATATTCACAGTGGCCTAAGCTTTCCAGAGCTATTTTATATGCCTGCAAAGAAATTATTTTCAAAAATCAAGATTACAAAGCTTATAAAATGACAAAGTCCAATGAAAATAGAAATTTAAAAGTTCTATAGTTTTTAAAACAGTTAAGGCTAGCTATTATCATATTATTCTTTCCAATTGATTTAATATCACAATTGCAACTCCCTCCCTTGTTCCTATCCCTGAGGTATTGCTGTGCCAGCTCTGAAAAACTTACTTGCAAAGCACTGTCAATTTTTATGTTCAGTTCTTTTAACTGGTGCTCAGGAATTGCTGCACTTTGAGAACAGAAGAGCTGTTGAACTTCAATTCCTGCCAGGCGGCCATCACAGCCTCTTTCTCTTAGTCTAGATGTTGCCTGCAACATAAATAATTACTGGTAGGTAAAAGAGGATGCTGCAGACACTAGCAAAATTAAAAAGATAAAATACAAAAACAAAGGAAATAAAGCAAGAAATCATCTAAGCATTAGATATAAGCCAGACATTCCGAATTGGTTGTATTAAGTGGGCAGCCAGAAATTTTGAAAGATTCCAGCAAGCATCCTGAAGAAAACATAAACTTGACACAGCACCATCTTCTCTAAGAAACCCTGGAAAGCCAGACTGGTTTGGCTCAGTGGATAGAGCATCGGACTGTGGACTGAAGGGTCCCAGGTTCGATTCCCAGTCAGGGCACATGCCTGAATTGCGGGCCTGATCCCGGGTAGGGGGCTTGCAGGAGGCAGCAGATCAATGACTCTCTCTCATCATTAATGTTTCTCTCTCTCCTAAAATCAATAAAGATATTATTTTAAAAAAAGAAAAAAAACCCTGGGGGAGTGGGGGGGGGCGAAAACCTTCCTGACCTGCTATTTATTTTTTATATATAAAAAATATTTGCATTTAAAATTTCTCTGTTCTAGAAAGACAAATAACCTAGAATATTGGCATCTGGTGTTTCCAGAATAAAAAAAAGAATGTATATAGTTGGGTGTTCCTATATACCAAAGTAAAAAGTCACACCAATACAGAACAAGAAAAAAACAACACATTGGAACATTAAAGGAAAAACAGAGCTTTTGAAATATGCACAGAAAAATTAAATACTTACTACTCAGTCATTAAACATGTTTATGAAGAGTACATAAGAGAAAAAACAAGAAAAAACTAATCTGTTCCTTGTAAGGATAAAATGTAAGTTATGCCCTGGCTGGATGGCTCAATGGATAGAGAGTCGGCCTGCAGACTGAAAAGTCCCAGGTTTGATTCCGGTCAAGGGCATGTACCTTGGTTGTGGGCACATCCCCAGGGGGGGTGTGCAGCAGGCAGCTGATTGATGTTTCTAACTCTCTATCCCTCTCCCCTCCTCTCCGTAAAAAGTCAATAAAATATATTTTTAAAAAAATGTAAGCTATGGTTCACAACTAGAGAATAAGAAAAATAAGTATCTGATTTATTAGCTGGGAGGAGAGCTTCAGGATGAACTCTCTTTCAATTCTCTAATGTCTATTTTTGTTGCAATAATATTAGTGCAACAAATAACATTTTTAAACAGTTTTGTTCTCTAGGCTAGTCTAAGAGTTTTAATGCTTAACAAAGTTGCAGGACTAAGGAAAAGTAGTGAGCAACTATCTATATACTAGAGGCCAGGTGCACAAAATTGGTGCACGGGTATGGTCCCTAGGTGTGGCCAGCGATCGAAGCACAAGCATCTGGCGTGGAAGGGCAGGTCCCAGCTGACCTCTGGGCCCTGGGCCCCCAGGCCCCGCCACACCCCCCTCCACTTGGGTCGCGGTGCCCGAGTCCCCACGCCGAGTGTAGCTGGATGCCGTGGGCCAGGGTGTAGTGTGAGCCTCTGAATCACCCAGCAGCACTGCACAGAAGCCAGGCAGGCAGCACGCTCTCTCCCGGCCAGCCTCACAGACCAGCTCCTGTGCAAACCCACTGGCCACTGGGAGCCCCACTGGCCCCTGCGGTACCAGTGGCTGTGGCTTGGCTCATCCAGAAAAGGCCGTGCAGGTGCGGGGTGGGCTCCTTGCGGACACCCGGCACCTGAGCACAGGGGCTTCCCTGGCATGCGAGCTCTGGTGTCCTGGGGGAGGGTAGCAGGGGAAGTGAGAGCGAGCTTGGATGATGCCCCACATTCTCACCACACCTCTATCTCCATCACCCCTGCCTCCAGGTAGCTGGCGAGAGGTCACAGCCCCCCGCCCGGGCACTGAGGGAGGTTGGTTGCCGCCACCCACCTCCAGTTCCACTTCCCAGCCCAGGGCCTGCTGGCCACTGGTTGCCATCCACGGGGCAAAGGGCTGGGGCTGACATCTGCCATGTTCCATGCCACCTCCTGGTGGTCAGCGCGCGTCATAGTGAGCGGTCACACTCACGGTCAAACAATTTGCATATTAAGCTTTTATTATATAGGATATAAAAGCCTAAGCAACCATCGACCATCCACCCGTAGCTATGACCTGCAATGACCACCAGGAGGCAGATGCTCCGACCAGTAGAGGAGGGAGCCTGATTTCTTGCAGAATGGGCTGTGGGTTAGGTTGCTGCTGGGGCACTGTAGGCCCCGAATCTGCTACACCCACACCCTGGACCCAGAGAGGAGGGAGGAGGGAACCCAATTCCTCGCGGAATTGGCCGTGAGTTAGTTACTGCTGGGGCACTGTCCTGTGGGGACTGGGCCAAAACCAACTCTCCGACATCCCCCGAGGGGTCCCAGATTGTGAGAGGATGCAGGCCAGGCTGAGGGACCCCACCGGTGCACGAATCCATGCACTGGGCATCTACTAATGCTATAAAATTTCAAAGCAGAACAAAGTATTCCTGTATACCACTCCAACCATTCCCTGAACCTTAAGAGTCTCACAGTAACACAATTTGACTTTTTTAAAGAATCTTTCAATCAAATATTTCACCCACAAGGTCTTGTTAGGTGTCACTGAATAGGCAGTGAAGTATAAAACTTGTAACCTATCATCTTGGAGCTGATAGCCTCATGGACCAACAAGGCACACAAATAAAACATTTAGCCCTGCATGTACCTGTTGCGGGCACATCCCCAGTGGGAGTTGTGCAGGAGGCAGCTGATCGATGTTTCTCTCTCATGGATGTTTCTAACTCTCTATCTCTCTCTCTCCCTTCCTCTCTGTAAAAAATCAATAAAATATATTTTAAAAAAAAACACAAAAAAACATTTAGCCCTGGCTAGTGTAACTCAGTTGGCTAGGCATTGTTCCGCGCACTGAGGGATTGCTGGTTCAATTCCCGGTCAGGGGCATGCAGGAGGCAGCCCATTGACGGTTTACTCTTACATCAATGTTTCTTTCTCTCTCTCTCTCTCTTCCTCTCTAAAAATCAGTAAAAATATTTTAAGTAGATAAATAAATATATAAAACATTTAAAAATTAAAAACGGAGGCGTTGGCCGTGTAGCTCAGTTGCTTAGAGCATCGTCCTGATATGTGAAGGTTGCAGGTTTGATTCCCAGTCTGGAGCACATAAGAATCAACCAGTGAATGCATAAATAGGAGGAACAACAGATTGATGTTTCTCTCTACAAAGACCAATGAATAAATAATAAAAAAGATATTTCTCTAAAAAAATTAAAAGTGAAGAAAAGCAATTGGACAGAAACAGAGACTGTAATACAGTGGTTCTCAACCTTCCTAATGCCGGGACCCTTTAATACAGTTCCTCATGTTGTGGTGACCCCCAACCATAAAATTATTTTCACTGCTACTTCATAACTGTAATTTTGCTACTGTTATGAATCGTAATGTAAATATCTGATATGCAGGATGTATATTCATTGCTACAAATTGAACATAATTAAAGCATAGTGATTAATCACAAAAACAATATATAATTATATTTATGTTTTCTGATGGTCTTAGGCGACCCCCGTGAAAGGGTCGTTTAACCCCTAAAAAGGTCGCTACCCACAGGTTGAGAACCGCTGCTCTAGAAGCTTTGCTGCACTGACCCTAGTTACAGGCAGTCCCTTCCTCTGGGTTCCCACGCACCCCCATCACAGACCCTTAACCAGGTTTTGTAAGCCCTTTCTCCAACGAGGATGAGTAGAGGCTGTCACCCCATGCCTGGTGCATGTCTGACACAAAGTAGGCATTCTCTGTTAAATGCATGGACAAGCTATTGGTAACAGTTTAAAATTCTAAATAAGAAGGCTCTTTTAAGAACCCAGAGGCAAAGGCCTCTCCTGCTTGAACACAGGGCAGCAATCTTTCCAAAGTCAGAGTTACCTCAGCAGCCCCCCTCCAGGATCGCACAGCTTCCTCCAGTTCAGGTGTGTGGCCCATGCCAGATAAGCTGCTGCTGCTCTTTTTTTCAGGCACAACCACCTCAGCAAAACAAGAGTGAGCCACTGGCTGGACCTTCTGTAATGCCTGGGTCAAAAACTGGAAATGGACCTGCACCACGGTCAGGAAACATCGCCCCAACACCTGTGAAAACAAGAGCCAGGCATTTTTAGATTATGGGTTGCTACTACATTAGTGCAATAAATTCTCAGCCATTAATCTGAGTAGAAGGTAACAACTAACTGGAAATCTGAAATTATATAGTTTAAAAGTCATCATGCTTTAGACAGTGGTTCTCAACCTTCTGGCCCTTTAAATACAGTTCCTCATTGTGGTGACCCCCAACCATAAAATTATTTTCGTTGCTACTTCATAACTGTAATGTTGCTACTGTTATGAATCGTAATGTAAATATCTGATATGCAGGATGGTCTTAGGCGACCCCTGTGAAAGGGTCGTTTGACTGCCAAAGGGGTCGCGACCCACAGGTTGAGAACCGCTGCTGTAGAAGGATCTGCCTTTGTTCTCATCTTTACACCTGGGTGCCTGATGCCTACAAGTCAACCAAATAGCAAGCCCCAAGGTTCATAGGCACCTTCCAACTTCTCACGCCTCCATTGCTGTTCTCTACTCCCCTCATCTGGACTCTGGCTCACATTAACCTGCCTGTCTGTGAGCTCTGGCTAAACCAGAGCAACCCACAATTCCAATTATATCTACACAGCACTCTGAAGGCAGAGCAAAAGCCATGTGGTTAAAAATCTGAAAAGTCAAGTTTTACTCTAAGAAGACATTCCATCGGAAATGGAATCCAAAGATACAGGTTACTTTGGTAACAGTGTTATTAACATAGTTTTTAACATAGCTTTATGTCATACTTCTACTCTTACGCAACAAAGCTGACAGACCAGTCTTCTAGGAGTCAACAAAACCTACTGGACAATTTCATTTGTTAGTACAGCAGAAACCCTCACCTGATCCATGTTAGTAATTGGTTGGTTGATGAAGTAGTCCATTAAAGTAGGACTCTAATTTTAAAAATACCATATACATAACACTACCTTAACATATACTATTAATATGTAATTATAGAGGCCCGGTGCACAAAATCTGGCTTCTGCCTCCTGGTGGTCATTGTGTGTCATAGCTACTGGTCGGACAGTTGCATAGCCTTGTATATATATAGATAGATAGATAGATAGATAATCCAGTGGACACTTTGCATATTAGCTTTTATATAGATAGATAATGATGTATATACTAAAAATACTACATAACACAAACATTTTAAGATATGGATGTGTATGTATCTACAAGCCTTTGGCACTTGCTGAAGCTTTTCTCTGGGGCACCAGCCTTTTCTCCCTGGTCCTTGAAGCTTTGCTGCTCTGTTCCTACCTGCAGACAGGCCCCTTCCTCTGGGTTCCCATACGGGTCCCCGTTTCCTTGCTTGAGTTAATCTCAGCTACAAGGTGTTCTCTAGGATTAACTATTTCTTTTTCTTTAAAGGAGAGCAAGAACTTGACACTTAAAAAGCAACTTGAGCAGAGATCCTCCAGGTTACTAATATTTCCCCTAATCTTTTACATTTGTTTATCCATACCAAATTTGAGAACAAAAACTTTTGCCAATTTATCATGTACCATACATTCACCTTTTTTTTCATAGAATGTATTGCAAATTTCACTGGCTTACATAGGAGGTTACTTAAAAAATGTACTTCACTGAGTTTGCAATTTATCCAACTGGCAGGAGCACAGGTGAGAGGGGCCATTCACTGCCAGCACTCAGTGAACGAACTGCCTTGGGAAGGTGGTGCATGTTGGGGAACAGTTTCCATTGCCTTTTACAAGGAACTAAAATTTTATGAAACAATGGAATTGTCCAGTAGGTTTTGTTGGCTCCTAGAAGACTGGTCTGTCAGCTTTGTTCTGTAAGACCCCAATGCTGTCCCTTGGAGCAGCCAAAAATAAGACTTAAACGTGGACTGCTCACTTCCTAGTGCACATTTCAGATGTCTGTCTGTGAGCTCCTGTTCCACTAGTCAAAGAGTTCTGCTTCCTGGAGAAAGAGACTCAGGGAAGTTCCCAATGGTGACACTTAATCCCTCTGAATTATTTTTCCTGGTGGAAATCATTAGGACCAAACTAAAACAAATCTCACACCAAAGTAGCCACCCTCTCTCTATAGTAAACAATGAGAATTACAGGCTAACTACAGGTATGGGTTTCTACTCACAAACCTCCCTCAAAGTTATACCCCATTAATGATCTGTGTCAGATGGGGCAGGGTGAGGGACACACAGGAAGTAGACTTGGCAGCCTACAGACATGAGACATGAATAAAATAAATGGCATTTAATTTGTACCATACATAACAGCCAGCTTTAATTGAACACTCAGTATGCATTTCTCCTATGTTAAAGGTATCACATGGGTCACTGAACTTAATCCTGGAAACAACTGCATAAGGTCAGTCCCATTTTACAGACAATAAGGCCAAGACACAGAGAGGTTTAAACTTTGTCAAGGGAACACAAACTGAAAATGGTGGAGTGGTCACAAGACTCAAATGTCTGCGCTTAGCCAGTGTTTCCCACTGCCTTCAACAGGCTCTAAACAACTGGATACAGCTGTGGGCTGGATGCACTGCACTGAGACCAGGGACATGACAGAAACTCCACCTTAACGGGCACGCACAAGAACGAGGGTGTCCTGAAGCTCCACACGGTACAAACACAGGAGGAGGAGAGCTGGGGCCTCAGGCACACAAACTCTTCCTCCTTCTTCCTCAGTTTCGTGGCAGGCTATGGCAAAGGGAGGAGGAGGGGCAGTGGAGACGTCATGCACCTTGTACTCTGGGGTCACACTATTACAGCTTTAGACCAATACAATCGAGTCATTCATTTTCCCAACAATATGTTGTATGTAAATGCCTGATGTGTATGTACAAAGCACACACACAAAAAAGGCCAGAAAACACTACAAGACAGACAATGAGCAAATCCCTGTCCTCATGAGAGTTACCGTCTAATGGTGGGGAAGAAGTCAATAAGTAGATAGGCAAAGCCAGGGCTACTGGAGGAGAAATGCTAAAGGGCGAAGTGGGAAGGAAAAGGCTCTCTGAAGAGAGGACCAAGGGAACAGAGCAAGTTACCCTACCCTCTTCTAAAAGGAACAATTCAGGGAAAGGGCCCTGAAGGCCTGATGCAGGGTGCAGAATAGGGCATTTCCTGACAGTGCTGGTCAGTGGCAGGATGGGAGCATCCTCTCACTGTGAGTGGAAGAATGGAAAAAGGAGGAGGGTGCTGCTGGAGGAATAAGTGTGGGAAGAGATGCTGCAGTTTTAAAAGGCAGACATTTGGCCCTGACTGGTTTGGCTCAGTGGATAGAGTGTCGGCCTGTGGACTCAAGGGTCCCGGGTTCGATTCTGATCAAGGGCATGTACCTTGGTTGCTGGCACATCCCCAGTAGTAGATGTGCAGGAGGCAGCTGGTTGATGTTTCTCTCTCGTCGATGTTTCTAACTCTCTATCCCTCTCCCTTCCTCTCTGTAAAAAATCAGTAAAATATATATATATATATATTTTAAAAAGGCAGACATTTGGTATGTTGTCTCCATTAACCTACCACATAATTGACTTTGGATGAATTATTTAATCTAAATTTCTTCCCTTATAAGGACTGATGAAAACAAGAAGTCCTTCCCTCCTCCTACTCATGATACATGGAGTGTCAATGTAAATATGTTTGTGACAAAATATTTGTGTTGTAAGCAATTCATTAAAAGCCAATCAAACCAATAATTACCCTGGACCTTAAAAAAGCCCATTTCACAGAATATCTGCTCTAAGTTTGCATAAATTAACAGATGCATAAACAGCATATCCAGAGAGAGGATAGCGCTCAACCTCCAGCCTGCCTCTACCCATCTTTTCTATACACATCTGTCTTAGCCCACCTCCCCTGCTGTAACAGACCCCACATTGCTTGGGCTCTTCCTGAGAAACCTGGAAGGAAATATAGACTCTAAAGTTATGAACATGGAAGCGTGTGACCCCAGGGCAGCGGATGGCTGCTTTTCACATGGAGAAAGTTTCCTGGACTACAGTATTCAGTGAGGTTGCAGAACAGATGTGGCAAGCAGGGGAACAAATGAGCAGAGTGGTCAAAGAGAGAGACATTTGAATTTAAAATGTGAGTGGAGCTATAGTTACAGGTCTTATTAACAATTACCACTTATTGAAGGATTAACCCATACCAAGCACTTTATATGCAGTGAAGCAACTCTGTGGGGTGACAATGATTTATCCATTTACAGATTGACACCACTGAGGCTTACAGAGAGAAACCTGATGTGTAGTAGAGATCCAGTGTCAGGTCTGTTTGACTCCAAAGGCTGTATTTCTAACCACAAGGCTGCTCTGTCTTCCTATGACAACAGTGGGTGGATACTAAGAAGAGGAGAGGAACCCTGACATCCTCCATATACTCAGACCATGGTGATGGGAATGCAGACTGAGAGGCATAGCTCTGTCTTCATGACAGTGGGAAAGGGATTGGGGCAAAAATAACAAGTGGGTATAAAAACAATCCCGTTTACCATCGCACCAAAAAAATTAAGCTACCTAGGAATAAACTTAACTAAAGAGGTAAAAGACCTCTATTCAGAAAACTACAGGACGTTGAAAAAAGAGATAGAGGAAGGCATAAACAGATGGAAGAACATACCGTGTTCATGGATTGGTAAAATCAACATCATTAAAATGTTCTTACTACCCAAAGCAATCTATAGATTCAATGCAATCCCCATTAAAATACCAATGGCATATATCACAAACCGAGAATGAACTCTCCAAAATTTCATCTGGAATAAAAAAGACCCCGAATAGCTGCAGCAAAAATATTCTA